GGGGGTGGGGAGCGGGATGCGGGGTGCTTGGGGGATGCTGGGGGGGCCGGGGAAGGGCGAGCGAGGCACCCCAATACGGCTCCGCCGCCCCACTAGCAGAGGTGCTACATAGCGGCGCAGCTGCAACGGCAGACAAGCAGACAGCGCCATGGCGGCGGCGGCGGCGGGCCCCATCCCACCTGCGGCAGCCCCGACAGCCCCGCGATGCACGTCAGGCTCAGCAGCCGCGCCCGCCAGTCCTCCAGCGCCGCGCCGGGCGTGCCGATTGGGATCGCGGGCCCCGGCGCCGTGGGCAGCGCGAGGACGCCGTCTGATCCCAAGAGGTCAATCAGATGCTGCCGTATCCTGTTTTCGACCAAATACCAAGGGTGAGGCGACATTTTTCCTCGTCAGATACCATTCTTCATTTAGCAACTTCCTTCTAGACAGATCTTGTCGGAAGGTTGGTGTGACCGGGGGCCGTCTCATGAGTGGCACTGCCGCAGGCGAGCAGCCGCCTGGCGGTTTATTCACAGGCAATTCACCGGGGCGCCCGCAAAGCCGTTGGCCGCGCGGTGTTGCCGGTGCTTTGGGCGCGGCGGGTTGCCGCCGCCGGCGGCGGCGGCGGCGGCGCACCTCTGCCGCTGCGCATCGGCCGCGCGCCACTCGTCCTCCGTGATCGTGGCCGCCCACTCGAACCGCTCCTTGATGCCCGGCCCGAGCTCGGGGCTGGCCGCCCGCAGCCACTCGCCGTGGCACTGCCAAACCTCCCAGCCCTATCGAACCAATGGCAAGGCGAAGCGGCGTGGGCACGATGTCAGCACAATGAGAATCTTGACCGCCCGCGCGCCAAGCGCAGCCAGCTTCCAGCACATAAGGGGACCGCAGCTCCTGCTCCTGCTACTGCCGGCATCATGCCCTACGCCCCACGCCCCGCCCTCCCTCTCCGCCCCACGCAGCCCCTCCCGTTGCCCCCTGGCCCCTCCCCTCAAGCGCTGACTTGGCAGCCAGCCTCCCCCGGC